CGGATGTTCACGCTGCTCATTCGTCGTTTAATTAAGCCTGGGTTTTGTGTTGTGTCTGAGTGAATGTAATGTAAATGTAATCATAGTTAAGTCTTGTCAAGTTACAACAAACGTACGGCAACCCCTCATGGAGTTTTCAAGACAAGAGACAAGCAGAGGCGGGTTTGCCATTACCTGCCTCTATGTGGCAACCCAGGGCTTCCTTGGTGGTCTCCCATCCAAATACTAACCAGGGCTGATCCTGCTTAGCTTCTGAGATCTGACGAGATCAGGCTAGCCTGGGCCATCCAGGTCAGGGCAAAAGACAAGGCAGGTGAGACGCAGAGGTGTTTGACCATCGACGTCCTCTGCAAAGTCTTCCTTGGTGGCCTCCCATCCAAGTAACGACCCTGCTTAACGTCCAAGACCTGACGATATCGGGCTATACTATACCATTCGGCACCCCCATAGAACTGCGTATGCCTTTTCAAATGTGTATTTCCCCTTCTTATATAAGGGCCATTCCATACTTTTCTCTCTTTGGTTTGGTGTAGTGGTTAAGTGCACAGGCTCTAATCTGGGAGAACCGGGTTTGATTCTCCACTCCTCCACGTGCAGCTGCTGGATGACCTTGGACAAGCCATAGTTCTGACAACAGCTGTTCTTGAAAAAACGGTTTCTGTCAGAGCTCTCTCAGCCCCACCTACCTCACAGGGTGCCTGTTGTGGGGAGGGGAAGGGGAAGGAGTTTGTAAGCCGCTCTGAGACTCCCTTGGGTAGTGAAGGGCAGGGTATAAATCCAATCTCTTCTTCTTCTTTTGTCCGCCTTCAAGTCACAGCCAACTTACGGCAACCCTGTAGCATTTTCATGGCAAGAGATTGTTCAGTGGTGGTTCCCTAGTGGTCTCCCATCCAAGTACGAACCAGGACTGATCCTGCTTAGCTTCAGAGGTGGTTTGCCATTCAGAGTCAGTTTGCCATTGCCTGCCTCTGGACCTCCTTGGTGGTCTCCCATCCAAGTACAAAGCATGACAATCCATTCTTAGCTTCTGAGCTCTCACAAGCTCAGGCGAGTCTGGGCTGTTCAGGCCGCTACATATAAATGAGGGTTAGTAAAATAAAACTGTGGCCTGTAAAGAACAAGCGAATCAGACTCCTGAATAAAACATAGTTCTAGGCGACTGTGAAATTATGGTCTCCCCCCCACACACACACAATTGTTGACCTTCCTCGCAGTTTTTGTCGTGCCCATCTGGAATAATTTCTTTCCCCACCAAAGTTCAGTGGATGGGAATTGCTTCTTTTTTTCTGCTCCCCCGTCGCTGAGAGAGGGCGTAGGAGGAGATAAATGAATCCCCCCTCCCCCTACCAGTCCCGCCTCCAACATCCGCCTCTAATCTTTAAATCAGATCTCAATCCGAGCTACAACTTTTGTAGAAGGAGCTTTCTACCGGGGATTTCGAAGGCTTATGACTGGGACTAATTAAAGAGCTTTAATTGCCCAGATCATTAGCAGCCGATTATTCCAGCTACCGGTCTTGAAAAATTGCAAGGTAATCGCTTGCTAATCCGGGTAAACAGCCTCAATAGACAGGGGGAAATGTCACCGTATACTTGAAACAACTGGCTTTGTTTGACTGTTCCGCCCCTCACCTCCGAATGTATCTTTGGTGGCTATTTCTGCTTGAATGTCGAGCAGGAAGTATCCATGTAAAGGCACAACGCTGAAGTCTTTCTTTCTGTCGAGAAACAGTTTAAATGGCCAGTTGTCATGACCGTGTTGTAGCAGATGTGGGCTGTGCAGGCGGTGAATAGAAAGGTTGTCCACTCTAGGAAATTCCTGGAGATTTAGGGGGTGGAATGTGGAGAGGGCTTGGTTTGGGGAGGGAAGGGACCCCCGTGGAGCATAATGCCGTAGAGCAGCCCTTTTCTCCAGGGTAACTGATCTCTGTAGTCTGAAGATCCAGATGATCTCCAAGCCCCACCGGAGAGCTGGCAGCCCTAGTGAACAGATTTCACAGAGAGATCCAGTTTGGTGTAATGATTAAGTGCGCGGACTCTAATCTGGGAGAACCGGGTTTGATTCCCTACTCCTCCACTTGCACCTGCTGGATGACCTTGGGCAAGCCGTAGTTCTGTCAGAGCTGTTCTCTCAAGGGCAGTTCTCTCAGAGCTCTCTCAGCCCCACCTCCCTCACAGGGTGTCTGTTGTGGGGAGGGGAAGGGAAAGGAGATTGTAAGCCGCTCTGAGACTCCTTTGGGTAGTGAAGGGCGAGGGTATGAATCCAATCTCTCTTCTTCTTCTTCTTCTTCTTCTTCTTCTTCTTCTTCTTCTTCTTCTTCTTCTTCTTCTTCTTCTTCTTCTTCTTCTTCTTCTTCTTCTCTTCGAACTCCTCATCCCTCCAAAAGATGTTGTTGAACCCTCTCTACTGGTGTTCATCCTTAACAAGACAATGGCCCTAGCAGGTACCCAGGCCCGTAGCTACGGTGGGGCATTTTGGGCCCACGCCCCCTCACTTAACAGCCACGCCCCACAAGTCCTGCTGCCAGAAACCACGCTTTTAAAGTATTTATTTGGGTGTTATGGTCAATCAAAATAATGGTGTGATTCGTCTGCTCTTCATCTAATTAAGTTCCCCGGTCCCCGGCCCCTGCCCCACCGATCAAAATTTTCTGGCTACGCCCCGGCAGGTACCCCTTTCCTGTCCACATCATGGATATAAAGAACCGCCCACACGCCTTGCTTTGCTCAAAACTAATTAATGTTCCAACGCTTGCCAGCAATGCGAAACGATTTCAGATTTTGGAGGATGAATAAAGGCATATATTTAAATATAGCTCAGCGTTTCCTATCCTTAATGAATCCGAAAGAGCGTAGGTGTCGCAGCAGTAGGCAGGCAGTGGCAAACCGCCTCTGAACGTCTCTTGCCTTGAAAACCTATACGAGGTCACCATAAGCGAGCTGCGACTTGGCCGTGCTTTCCACCACCACGTTGTATCCGCAGTCATCGTTCCTTAAGCAGCTGAGACTTTCCTTTGAATTGAGGGCAGGAGATGTGGATAGTAATGCTGGAGAAATGCAAGCAGAGGGTTGGATCCGACACGGTTTTCCTGCTGGTGAAAGAAGGAGAAGGGACCCTTTTTGACCACTGGATGAAGAGGCTTTGCCGGGAAGCTCAGATGGATAGAAGCAACCAGGGGTGGGGGCTACCGCAAGGGGATGGATTGAGTGAGATCCAGCAGAAATGCTGGTCGGATCCAACCCAGAAGCAAGCAATTCTTTCCATATTTGATGGAAACGTGATAAAACACGGGAATTCCGTTCAAAATAAATCAAGTTGTCGGTGTAGGGATGCCACCTTCCAGGTGAAACCTGGGGACACCCCCCAGAATTATAGTTCATCTCCAGACTACAGAGATTGGGTCCCCCTGGAGGAAATGGATGTTTTGGAGGGTGGTCTCTGTGGTATTGTACCCCACTGAGGTCCCTGTCCTTCCCAGACTCCACTCCCAAGTCTTCAGGAGTTTTCCAGCCTGGATCTGGCAACCGTCCCCCCCCCCTCCCCCATTGGTGGCCAGGGGGACCTGGCAACCCGAGGTTGATGGTTGTTATTTTTCTCCTCAACATTCTCCCATATTCCTAACCTTGCTTTGTTATGATAGAAAGGGTGTACGAAACTAGAAATCAAAGAACGTATTGGCATTGAGGAAAAACAAACAGAGCAAAAAGAATTTATTTGTAATATCTTGTCGATGTTGACAAAGGTCAGTGACTTAGATGCAGTAGCTCCCTTCTACTGAAGGAGGCATCTTCCAACTGTCATTGGAGGGGAACAGCTTCTGTACTTGGAGTGAGCTTCATCAGATCAAAGCATTCCTTCTGCCAATGGAAGGAAGTCGTGACATCCCGCCCAATAAATCAGTCCCTTTTCCCGCAAATAATTGCACCATTTTGTTCCTCAATTCTTGTTAGCTTTTTGTAAAGATACTGGTATGAAACAAGATAAAACAATTGATTTATGAACAGATAGAAACAAATATGGAATATTCCAGTCATTGGAAAGTGAAGAACATGATTGTGCTTAGTTTGGTGTAGTGGTTAAGTGCGCGGACTCTAATCTGGGAGAACCGGGTTTGATTCCCCACTCCTCCACTTGCACCTACTGGATGACCTTGGGCAAGCCATAGTTCTGACAACAGCTGTTCTTGAAAAAGAGCAGTTTCTGTCAGAGCTCTCTCAGCCCCACCCACCTCACAGGGTGTCCGTTGTGGGGAGGGGAAGGGAAAGGAGTTTGTAAGCCACTCTGAGACTCCGTTGGGCAGTGAAGGGCGGGGTATAAATCCAATCTCCTCCTCCTCCTCCGCTTCCTCTTCTTCTCATACATAGTAGACTAAGAAGAACTCAAGATGGTTGTGGAAATAGTTAACTTTCCTTAATTATGCACAGCCATCCAAAATCTAATCTTTTTATCAATGAAAAATATTCCATGTGCGTTTTTGGAATCAGAAAACGTGCTTATTTGGGGTGGGTGGGCCAAGTCTTTCTCTCCCATGGAGTTTGTTGTAACGATCTGTGAATCCTGTCATATGAAAATGAAAAAAAATATTTAAAAAAAGGAAAGAAAAGTACCTCTGATTTACTGGGGTAATTATAAGACGTGTGAATGTCAAATGATCATGAAAAGGGACCCACCATTGCAATAAGACAAAAGGAAGGATTTCTTTGGGAGAGAATAAGAACTAGTACGTTGAGTTCTGTGAATCCACATTCCATGAAGGATGGCGTTCTCTGAGCCTCTTGCATAAGCAGACGGCTCCATGCCCTGGAGGAAGACACGCAAGTTAACAGGATGAATCTGTAGAATGCAAACACAACCCTATGAAAGCAAGTGGAAAATAAGACTGTGCAGATTCCCTTTTGCTTAGATAGATTGCCCTATGATCCCACCACGCCCACCACGTTCTGATCTTCTAATGCCTTTCGCAGTGCAACAGGACTTGTCTTCTCCTTTTGTCCTTACAGAGGGATGCCCTGGCTTGTGTAACGGCAACGGCAGGTGCACACTGGACGTGAACGGGTGGCATTGCGTCTGCCAGCTGGGCTGGAGAGGCATGGGCTGTGACACTTCCATGGAGACGGCGTGCGGCGATGCGAAAGACAATGATGGAGGTAAGAGGTCACACCAGTTTGGTTTGCTGGAAGAGACTGTGCCTGAAGACCAAGAAAGGGCTTGAATGTTCCAGGCTGCAAACTGGGTCATCCCACCATGTGGCGTTATTACATTAAAAAGAACAGGGTGTGTCACCTTTGTTTTTGGAACAGAGGTCACGGTTGCTGCAAAGAGCCATTAGAACAGATGACTTGCATGAATAAAGTCACAGGCAGTGTTCCCTCTAAGCTGAGTTAGTGTGAGCTAGCTCAGACTTTTTAAACCTCGGGCTCACATTTTTGTCTTAGCTCAGGAAGGGTGGTTCCAGACGCAGTGTTCCCTCTAAGCTGAGTTAGTGTGAGCTAGCTCAGACTTTTTAAACCTCGGGCTCACATTTTTGTCTTAGCTCAGGAAGGGTGGTTCCAGACGCAGTGTTCCCTCTAAGCTGAGTTAGTGTGAGCTAGCTCAGACTTTTTAAACCTCGGGCTCACATTTTTGTCTTAGCTCAGGAAGGGTGGTTCCAGACGCAGTGTTCCCTCTAAGCTGAGTTAGTGTGAGCTAGCTCAGACTTTTTAAACCTCGGGCTCACATTTTTGTCTTAGCTCAGGAAGGGCGGCTCCAGAGCAAACTAATTCATGCAGCAGCCAAGCCGCTCACTCACAACTTCAATGCCGCTAGCTCACAACATAGAATTTTTGCTCACAAGACTCCACAGTTAGAGGGAACATTGGTCACAGGTCCAACCTTCGGCATCTCCAGAAGATCTCAAAATAGCAAGGCTCTGGGGAAGATGTTCCTCACCTAGAGCCTGGCAAAGTAGACAGTAAATAGGGCAGTGGTTTTACTCAATATGAGGAAGCTCCTTGTGTTCCTCTGTCCACCCAAACGCTTCTCCCTGGACGTTGCTTGAAGTACCCATCAAGGATCTGAACTTGTCCTTGTGGGAGGGCACCCATGGTCACCCATGGACACGTGAGGCTCCCTATACTGAATCGGTCCAGTGGTCCATCAAGGTCAGTATTGTGTACTCAGACTGGCATCGGCTCTCTAGGGTCTCAGGGAGAGACCTTTCACATCACCCGGTCTTTTTAACTGGAGATGCCAAGGATTGAACCTGGGACCTTCTGCATGTCAAACTGATGCTCTGCCATGGAGTCACAACCCCCTCCCTGTTGGGTCCCAGTTCAGCTTCAAAGTCATCAGTCTGTAAAATGGTCTGAAACAGCCAGGCCCATAGCTATGGTGGGGCTTTGGGGGGCTCTGCCCCCATTCTTAAAGGCACAGCCCCACAAGGATTTCTCCTGTAAATGCTTTTCCCAATCACTGTAAAACATTTTTAAAGGCATGTGCTTCTTGAAGCAGAGTTGGGTGCTGCAGCTGGCTAATTCCCTCACTGAGCAAGGGGGTTGGAGTAGGTGACCTCTAGGATACCTTCTAACTCTGTGTCAAGAAACTGGTCTCCTTTCAGAGAGTTTTCCTGCCTAAGTGTTAGCTTTCTTGACTATAGAAGTCATTCTCCCCCCCCCCCCACCTGCCGGCTTGTTCTCAGAATTGTCGCTTAGGCTGGCAGGAGGGATTAACTTGCAGCAGCTGAGAACTGTCATCTAAAGTGGTTGACAGCTTGCAATTTAGAGATCTCTCCTGGCAACAGTTTTCTATTGGCCAAATGGCTTTTCTTTCCGCACTGAGAACTTCAGCCCCACCAGGAAAAAAATTGCCACAAGCCACAAAATCCTGGCTGCGGGCCTGGAAACAGCTCATGGTCATCAGGGGCCCGGAGGAGCCAACCTCAGTGAACTGCACTGAATTACATTGAGTTCTGTCCCCTAAGTCCTTTGTAGCCAGTAGACCTTATTCAACGCTTTCAGATGTTAGCATTTCACACACATTATCTCGCTGCAATCATTACAAGTATACAAAGTACGCCAGCATTAGTGGCCTCTCTCCTACCACTCGACTAAGCAAATCTGAAGTCTTCCTCCAACTAAAGTGGCTTTTCTGTCATGGGAAGAGCCCTGTCACTTCAAGGAAGGTTCCTTACGCTAGACGAATGTGCTCCAGCCTTAGGTAAGCTATCGCCCATTATGTTCATATTGCAAATGGCCTTGGAGAGCGAGAGAGAGTTTGCTTATGGCTCATTAGTGGGGTCATGGGAGAGGTGAGACTCAAGCCATGACTTCTCTATTCATGTTACAGGCGTTTCCCGAATTTCGGGGAACACTATTTCGTTTTGAAAAATCCCAGTTCCTGAGAGAATTCTCGCACAGTTATCTTTTCCCTCTCAGCCGTACTCATGAAATATGATTGAACTATTACCATTTAAACTAATGCCTTCTTGGTGTCAATTGTGTGTAATATATAAATAGCACCAAAATATGTCTTTTAAGAAATAAATTATTCCGCAACATCAGTAATGAAGACGGGCAAGGTATATGAAGGCTTATGAAGGCATACGGAAATGAAAAAGAAACAGAAAGGGGTAGATGCACGCATTTGCTAAGCTTAGCTATTATATTACGCCAGCTTTTGTATGGTGCTACACCGTGGATGGGTGGGTGGGTGGATAGAAAGGGGTGGATGGATAGAAAGAGGTGGATTGCAAGGTGGGTGGATGCAGAGGTCATTTCGGGGGGGATCGCGGGGGATCGCAGTTCCCCTGGGTGAGGTACGGGGGCGGGGCACATGACGAAGCCCCGCCCCCTGCTTCTGGCCGCCCCGCTTCCGGCCCTCATTCAGCCAGGAGGAGGCAGGAGAAGAGGGAGGGTAAGTTGCTTCCTCCCTGCCTCTCCCCACCCCTGCCTGCCTGGGGCCAGGGAGGGCCTTTGCGGGGCTTCCTTGCACTCCCGCCAGCCTTGCAGGTCCACCGCCGGGCCCCTCATGGGGCTCGGCAGTGGAGCTGCAAGGCCGGCGGTGGCGGCCAGGACCGTTGGGGGCGGGGTGTGTGGCCTTATGACACCCTTCCGGTGATGTCAGGGGGTGTGGCATATGCTAATGAGTTATGCTAATGAGTTCCCCTAGCTCTTTTTCTACGAAACGACTCCTGGGTGGATGATAGAAAGGGACAAGTGGGGACATGCAAGAAACTTGCGGAGAAGGTGCATCCCTTCCCCCTCTTTGCTTCCTTTCCCCTTCCTCCTTCTCTAGCAATCTTCCCCTCTTTCTCCCACTCCCCTTACCTGTCAACCTACCTCCATGTCTTTTGCCCCCATCCCTTTGAGCATGTCCAGAAGAGGGCAATCAGGATGGTGAGAGGGTTGGAATCCAAGTCTGATGAGGAAAGGCTGAAAGAGTTGGGTCTGTTTGGCCTGGGAAAGAGAAGGCTCAGGGGGGACATGACTGCAGTCTTCAAGTATCTGAAGGGCTGTCATGCAGAAGATGGAGCAGATCTATTCTCTCTTGCTCCGGATTGCAAGACTAGGTCTAATGGGTGGAAATTACAAGGGAGTCGTTACCGGCTAAATATCAGGAGAAACTTCCTAACTGTAAGAGTGGTTGAGCAGTGGAACAGTCTGCCTCGGGAGGTGGTGGATGCTCCTTCGCTGGACGACCATCTTTCGGGTATGTTGTAGGTATGTAGGGCCATCTTTCGGCTATGCTCCTGCAGAGTACAGTGGGGTTGACCTGCAAGGTCCCTTCCAACTCTAACATTCTATGATTCTATGAATCTACCCCTCCCTTTCTCTGTTAACCTACCCCCTTTCTCCCATTCCCCTTATCTGTCAATCTACCCCCATCTCCCCCCCCCATTTCTTCATCAGTTTATCCACCTCTTGCTACCCCACCTACCACCCACCCCTGGCACTTCATAGAATCCTAGAGTTGGAAGAGACCTCCAGGGTCATCTAGTCCACCCCCCCGCACAATGCAGGAAATTCACAAATACCTCCCCCCACTTCACTCACCCTCACTTTTGCAGCTGTCCCCACCTACCACCCACCCTATGCACTCCACTCACCCTCCCACCCTTGACATTCAACACCCCCCACTCTTGCTTTCTTCCCACCTACCCTCCTTGGCATTCTTTCCCCCCCCCCAACCCTCGGTACTTTCTTCACCTACCCCCACTTGGCACACCTTTGCAGCTGTCCCTATCTACATGTCAGACTCTTTGACAAAATTACTCTCAACCACACTCTCTAGCAGTGATGTATTAATGACTAAAGATGTTCCAAGCTGAGACCAGTACTATGTCAGAACTGAGGTTTATTTTATTTATTTATTTATTTATTTATTTATTAATTATTGTATTTCTATCCTGCCCTCCCCGCGAACGGGCTCAGGGCAGCTCACAAACAAGGGCAACCATGTGCCGATATAAAACATTAAAAACAGAATAGAAACAACCATAATTAACAATAATAAAGTGCTCAGTGATGTTCATCATTCAGATCGAATCAAGATGGTGACCTACAGATATTACCCAAAAGCCCGATTCAGCGGTACCGATCTATCACGATACTGTTGCAAGATCTTTATAATGGGCCATCCCATTACCCCGTTGTTACCACAAAATAGTTGATGGTGGTGGTGGCAGTTCCTAGTTGAAAGCCTGGCAGAAGAGTTCCGTCTTGCAGGCCCTGCGGAACTGTGAGAGGTCCCACAGGGCCCTGATCTCCTCCGGGAGCTCATTCCACCAGGTAGGAGAATCCCCAATTAGACAGTTCAAACCAGCCCCCCCCTTTTTGGGTCCCATCTAATCATACTTCACAATCGTCCCATCTAGCTTTTGTGTGCTCTACACCCCCACCTGTGAATATACCGTTATTTTCTCTAAGACAGTGAAGCAAGCACAATCCTCTCCAGGGTCATCCCTGTGTAGGAAGGTATCATAAGAAGAGTTACATCATCACTACAACAGAGCCGTTCACACACTCGCACACCCCCTTGGGAATTTCCCTCCCTCTGCAGGCCCCAAGTCCCCAAAGCATGGCAAACGAGAGTCCGAGTTTGACACTACCCCACCCTTGACACTCCACTACCTCCACACCCTTCCCTTTCACTCCCCGCACCCTTGCTTCTC